TCTTCTTCTTCTTCTTCTTCTTCTTCTTCTTCTTCTTCTTCTTCTTCTTCTTCTTCTTCTTCTTCTTCTTCTTTTTCCTCTTCCTCCTCCTCTCCTCCTCCTCCTCCTCCTCTTCTTCTTCTTCTTTCTTTTTTGTTGATTGTGAGGGCTGAACTCAGCCTGGGTGCTGTCCCTCAGCTCCTCAGCTCAAGGCTAGCACCCTACCACTTGAGCCACAGCGCCACTTCCAGCTTTTTCTGCTTATGTGATGCTGAGGAATCAAACCCAGGGCCTCATGCATGCAAGGCAAGCACTCTACCACTGAGCCACCTTCCCAGCACCTGAACTTCTTATTCCTATAAAATTTAACTTAATAGCTTTTAGTTTCATTGTCATAATTTTAAGATCAATGCTAAAACTAAATAAGTAACTTAATCTACCTTTGGCTATTTATAACTTCATTCTCAGACCATACAAAATTGTCAGTATAGTCATTTAGGCTTGAATTTGGGGCCTGAATACTATACCTTAGCTTTTTCATTCAACATTGGTACTCTTATCACTTGAGCACTTCTGGCTTTTTGCTTGCTACTTGCAGATATGAGTCTCACAGATTTACCTGCCTAGGCTGGCTTTGAACTGTGATCCTCAGATCTCAGTCTCCTGAGTAGCTAGGAATACAGGTGTGAGCCACTAGTGCCCAGCTAGGTAACAGTTTATTTAAACATCTTTGAATGTATTGAACTGAAATTTCCTAATAGTCATCTGCTTAATTACACCGAAATCATCTTTGAGTCTTTTTTCTATACTACTTTTTCTCTTAAGGGCCACATTTCCCTGTTTTCCTCAGATTTATTCATTTTATAGTATGTAGGATACCATGAATGCCATGTTGTATGGATCCTAGATTCCACTGGTTTCCTTTGAAGGGTATTTCTGTTCTGGCAGATTGTAAATAGCTGGCCAGTCACGTTGTGTTTGTAGGCACTTGAGTTTGTGTTCTGACTTCTTTTTAGTTATAGAGTATGTACCTCTTAATCTTGAGATATTATTTTATCCCTTATCATGGCCCTTTTGAAGATTTCAGTGAAAACTTGAATTGTTACCAATTGTTTCCAACTTGTCCAGGACACATATTAAATACTGATACAGTGTGAACACATCTGAAATCTCTACTGAGAGCTTCCAGCATTCCAGCTGAGTCTCCCTGATTATCTCTGTAGGGTCTCCTCTGCAATTCAACAACCAGCCGAAGCTTTGAAGGAAAATAATGTGTTGATTCACTTCCTTACTGTATAGGCATTCCCTTTTAAAACTTTTTGAGCCCCTATGCTCTCCTCTTGACATCTCCAGCCCCTAAGATTGCAGATTTCTGCCTGACTTATGGTTATATGAAGATGCAGGCTAACGCATGCCCTAATGTGAAATACCAAGGCAAAGTGAATCTCACACAGTAAATTTCCTTTCCCTTCAAGGCTTGAAATCCCTCCTCATCTGCCCGCCGCTCTCCATCACCCACAATTCCTATTTTTATATCTTGTCCAGACTCCATTGTTTTCATCTACAGGCAAGATCACCTTATGGAATCAGTTATGTCATTACTGAGTTCAGAACTCCGGTAGGAAGATTGGCTCATCTTTCATGTGTGAACTGCACACTTTCTCAGTTGAAGAGCTGCCAATGATAGTGTTGCAGCGCAGTGTACTGCAAAGTCAGAGCCAGTGACACAGCATGAAGAAGAGACTCATGGGAGGATTTGGAAAATAAACTATTGTTTGGAAAATAAAATCTTTTCTTGAAGCATGCTTATATAAGGGAACAGTAGTAAAGAAGTCTTTTTTTTCCTCATGGAATTTGAGTGATAATTTCTCAAGTGACAGGATGTACCACAAACGCTCTCTCTTTCTGCTCAATGGAGGAGCTAGTACATAGTGATGCATAGATAGTCTGGGGCTCAAAGAATGACGGTAAAGCTTTACAACTCTGCTGCAGTCCTGGAGATGGGAAGTCTCTGTCTCACTGCCAGAGTCAGGATTCAGCTTAATTGTAATTTTGAAAGGATTAGGATTAAGTTAAATCAATAATTATCTTCCTGGGTATAGGCTGGGTTTTTTTTTTCCCCTCTCATTTGCTGTGCTTCAGCAAATGTATTAAATTCTCTTTTTCAAAAGTTTGATCTTAGAGAAACAAAGACACTTTTGATTATATCATATTAAAGTATAATACATTTTTAATCAAAGTTATCTTTGGTTGAAAGTTGGTTATCTGAGGGGAAAATAGAGATTAGAGGATATATTTTAGAAACAGACATAAGTTTGAATCCCAGCTCTACCATTTATGAACTGTGATTTTGGACATGATAGTTAAGCTTTCTGATCTCCATTTTCTGAACTAAAATGTGTGACTATTCATAGAGTCCCCTGTGGGAATACAGAAGGCTTGAAATGAGATCATGTTTAAGATGCTGGCAAAGTATCTGACAGAGTACTCAAACTAGAAGTGTAAAGAGACTGTTATCACTGTAATTGTAATAGCTGCATTCACATCATCTTAGTAGTAGTGAGCTGGGTGAGAAAAGTACAAGTGTGAGGAATTTAAGAAGATGGAAGGGAGAATTTTTTCCTTCCTTGTAGTCCATAACATTATTTTGATATTTGTAAAAACCACTTCAGCCCATCCCTTACCTGCTTCCCCTAGTATGCTATTTTCCTCACCAAGTTAAATTTCTCATCAGAACCTTTCTCAGCTTCTTAACTATAGAAAACTCTGGTCATTTCTAAAACCTCTCTCCTGCAGGGCTTTGTGTTGTAGGCCTATTTCCATGCATTTGCCTTCAGATCTTGGACCTCTACGGAGAAAGCTGCCCTGCTTACCCATCTTTCCCTTTGTCTTAAGTCAGTTTGGATTTCTGCAACACAATACCGTAGACTGGATGGTTTAAACTATAAATGTTAGTTCCCACAGTTGTCAAAAGACTGAGAGACTCACCTTCATTGTCCTAGGTCAAGGCACTGGATGATCTGGAGTCTAGCAAGGGAACTCTTCTTGTATATATAGAGCATCTTCTCATTGTGTCCTAAAACAATGGAGAGCAGGGGCTGGGGGCGTGGAGGGGGGAAGGGGAGAAAGTAAGCAGCAAGCTTTCCAGTATTCGAGTTAGAGATGAGGATGAGGCCTTCCTAAATGGAAGTAACTCCCAATAACCTCACCTCCTGCTACCATTATCCTGGCCATTGGAATATCAGCACACACATGTTGGTGGGGCACAGCAATCCAGAGTACTTCCCATAAGTTTTCATTGTGTGCTCACTGGTACTTTCTAGTTTCTTTCCCCAATAAACACTTGCCTACAGTGTTCATAACCAGATCTACTTCATTAATATGGCTAGTGCCAATATGCTTAGCAGGTATTTTGTGATTAAAGAAATAAAAGAAGAAGTGTGATACAAGAGTGTGTCAGAGGTCAGTGAATTCAGTCCACAGTTACCACATCACTGGGCATGGTCAGCCTTGTAGTAGGAGAGTCCTGAGTAGCCATTCAGAGATTCAGGAAATAACAAGAACTACATAGTTGGCATTTGTATGTCATTGTCAGTAGTTGCTAATGTTTTTAAAAAAACATACTCCACCTTCCTTTTCACTTTTTTTTTTTTCCCTAGAATGGCCACATCTGTTGCTCAGTCGATCCGCAGTGCCTTCAGGAACTCTGAAGTTAACTGTCTCATGGGAGATTTCTGTTTAAAGAATGTTCTTTCCTTAAAAAGACCAAAAAAACAAATGGTGAAAATGGATGATGTATGGGCAGCTCAATACACTTTGTGAGTCGCTGAGTGAACTTTCAATTGTGGAATTTGTGGAGCTTGAGGAAAACAGAAGGCAAAAGGAAGATTCTTGGGGAAAAAACTAGCCCACAGATCTGGCTCTGCTGTACCTAATGCCATTCTTGTCGGATTGGTGTGCAACTCGTGACGTCATGACGCCTGACCTAGGACACGGGAGCCCAGGGGATCCTGGGAAGCCTCTGGCTTTCACTGGTACAGGAAACTTCCTCCTAGATCAGAAGCTTCACGAGTCAGTCAGGTTCTTCACTGCACAAAGACAAGCTTTCAGGCAGTGAATGAATTCTATTTTCTGAAGCAAACATAGAAGCTGTAATGCATTATGTACAGTACACACTCTGCAAAGAAGTCTGATACCAGTTATTGTAATGATATAAAAAAAATAATGCACAGGCATGGTTACTTAGTATTTTCTAACAGGAAAAGTCATCCCTACTTTCTTGTTTTACTGCACTTAATATTATTTGGTTGAATCTGTTCAGTATCAGCTCGTTCTTGTGCAAAATTAAATAAATATTTCTCTTACCTTATAGTGTCTGTTGTTATCTTATTAAATGTGTTCTTTCTTTTTCTCCACTTAAAATGGTTCAAACTATAAAATGCGACTGCTCATGCCTGTAATCCCAGCTTCGCAGGAGGCTGAGAGCTGAGGATTTTGGCTAGAAGACAGCCTGAGCATGAAAAAATCTGAGACTCTTATCTCCTCTAACCAGCCAAAAAGCCAGAAATGGAGCTGTGGCTTAAGTGGTAGAGTGCCAGCCTTGAACAAAAACCTAAGGGACAGTGCTCAGGTCCTAGTACCAACACACACACACACACACACACACACACAATACAAATTGCTTCCTGGTTTTACTGATGAAAAACTTCCCATTAAGTTGTTTTCAAATTGAAATGTGAGTTTCACTGAAGTATATGTGCATAAGTGTGAGAGGAGATTCATCGTGCCTTGGTTCACTCTTCCACTCTAGCGCCTCCATCTCACCTTTGTTGTCCTGCTTTGTATCCTGGGGACAGACTTGTATAGAAAGAATTAATGAGTTCTCTCCCCACTGGTCTCAGTTTTGATTGAACTTGGGTGAGGGCCCCGGTGGCACATCCAGGGGAGGTAAATATGACTATTTATTTTGGTGATTTCCTTACTTCCAGGTCACCACCATAACTGGCTATGTCATCCTTCGCTTCTGAGAGATTCTTGTGTCTTCTCACTTTGAGATGGTGACAATCTGGCTGCCCTGTCCTTGGGAGAGGGATCCTCTCTATTGCTTGTTAGTTTGTTCCCAATCACATCTTTATAAATGGTCCCTTTGTTAAATTCTTTAATTAGCCATCCAAGTACACCATCTGTTTCCTGCCAGAACTCTTGACAGATAAAACATAAGGAGGGGTTTGGGTGATGATTGGAAATGTCTTCGAGAACTAGTCCTCCACAGTGACACAGAAATCCTTTCAAGGTTTAGAGGGCATCTTCATAGGCCATGTTCAACTCCTGTGACACGTAAGGATCTCAGGAGAAAAAAGGAAACGTAAACAGGTTGACAGCCACTGCGGGAAGTTCACTCCGCATACTCCATGCTTGTTTTGTTGCTAAGCTAAAAAAGAAATACAAGTAGCATTGCTGAATTGTCAGTTATATGGAGACATTTTTCTTTAAAGAAACAATATAGAACCCAATGCCCCTGGCTCATACCTGTAATCCTAGGTACTCAGGATGCTGAGATCTGAGGATCATGGTTCTAAGCCAGTCCAGGTAGACAAATCTGTGAGACTCTCCTCTATAATTAATCACCAAGAAGCTTGAAGTAGAGCCGTGGCTCAAGTGGTAGAGCTTCAGCCTTGAGTGGAAAAGGCTCAGGGACAGTACCTAGGTCCTGAGTTCAAGCCCAAGTACCTACCAACACACATACACACACACACACACACACACACACACACACACACACACACACACACACCTTAATGTCCAAGAGGGTTTCTGTTATTTGAAGTTTTCCTTTCCACATGATTTTAAAAATTTATGTATGTTTGAAATTTCATATTGAATTCTTTCTCCCAAGAGAGTAAGGACATGAAAATTTGCATGGATATAAACTCGTTACTCACGGAAGGAAGGGCAAGGCTTAAATTTCTTGAATTTCCTGCTCTAAATCCTTCTTACATCCCGGTAGATATAAGAAAGGGGCTTGTAAACCCCTCTTGTTCATAAACCATCAAATCAAAGGGAAAAAACTTACAGTGCTGAGAAGAGGGAGCATGAATATCTTCATCCTAAGCCATTAGGTCCATGAATCTTCCATTTTGAATTATCCCCATTGCAAGATTTACTCAATGAGTAAGGATTCCTGGGAAACCAATGTATCTCCACACCTCTGCAAGGAATTATTAATTATTTCCTTAAGGTTGTTGTAGTGTAGAAGTAATGTTTTGTTTCTCCTTGGATGATAATTGGGAGAAATATCATGGCTGAATTGTTTCTACATTATGGGAAATCAAGAAATAGGAATTTAACTTCAAGGTTCTTGGCTCCTTTAAGGGCTGATAGAAATCATCCTTACTAAATTTTTTTACATCCTTGTGTGTGTGTATGTGTGTTTGTTGGGGAGCTGGGGGAGGGGGGGTTGAGTGAAGGGAGGTGGGGGAAGACAGATCCTGGTGCTTGAACTCAGAGCCTAGGCACTGTCCCTGAGCCCTTTTATGCTCGAGGCTACTGCTCTACCACTTGAGCCACAGCTCCAGTTCCAGCTATTTGCTAGTTAATTGGAGATAAGACTCTCACAGTCTTTCCTGACTGGTCTGGTTTGAAACTCTGCCCTCAGATCTCAGCCTCCTGAGTTGCTAGGATTATAGGCATGAACCACTGGCTCTTGGCTAAATTCTCTTTTTTCAAAAAAAAAAATACCAAAACACAGAAGAGTTAAATACAATCTTTTAGGAAGTAACATATAGTAAATTATCTTGCCAAAATCCATTTTTGCAAAACTATGTTGCTTTTTTGCTTTATTTTACACTCTGGCAAAGAGCGTTATGGATTTGTTTAATTATACTGCAGCATCCTAGAACTTTAATCCTCCCAATAGCTATCCATAGTCACCCATAGCCAGGGTGAGATGATGTGTAATTGCCTTTGCAAAATGAATGCTATATTAGCACTGTAAACTGGCAGTCGATGTCAAAACTCTCAAGTGTTGGAGCACAGAAGTTAGTTGAACAAAGCTGCGGTTGCATGTTCTGAATAAAAGATGAGCCTCAAACCACTAAGCAGTCCCTAATCTATCCAAACTCCATGTTGCTGAGGATTTAGGACTTCTGAAGCTCAGTAGGTCCCATAGACCTGTTGGGCCCAGTCCTTCAATCTAGTGCTTAAGCATTGTGCTTTTTTAAAGCAAGTTTGTTTGCGTTATCTTTATAGGTGTAAAATACTTGTAATACCATGATAAATTTATTTCTGAGTGATCCATGCTGAACGCATCCTTAAAGGCAGTAAGAGAATGCTTAGGTTTCGCACATACTATATTTGTGGTGGTACCCAGAAGCTCTTCTCTGCAAAGCCTGTAGTTGGCTTGCTGTGTTCTTACTGACTTTTTCATTATTGATGTGTTGTTTTCTACCTTAGAACCCACTCTCTTCCATGAAAGAATGGTCACTTCTTTGCAGTCATTTCCTTTCCTTAATAGAAGTACAGTTAGAAAGGCCAGAGTGCCTTGGACTATAACTGGCTCTGGACTAGGGCTGACAATAAATTGGCAAAGACTAAAACCATTGCAGGGGTTGGAATAAGATAATCTGATTTGTAGATTCTCCTATTCCTTCTATTTGCTAGGAAGCCAAGTCTTATTTCTGTATACTGGGATTTAATTATTTTTCATAGAGATTTTTTTGCATGACAGATTCTGAAATTATTATTGTGAATGGCAGACAACAAAATGTGTGACTGTCACTATCCATGTGCATTTGAAATGTATTCCCCTGTTCATCTCCAGCATTCAGTGCTTTAAGGAACTAAAAAACAAAATAAAAAAGTGGTTCATGCCTATAATCCTAGCTGCCCAAGTGGCTGAGATCTGAAGATCACAGTTTGAAGCCACCCCAGGCAGGAAAGTTCATGAGACTCTCTGATCTCCAATTAATCACAGAGAAAGCTGGAAGTGTTGCTGTGGCTCAAGTGGTAGAGCACTAACCTAGAGCAAAAAGAGGCTCAGGTACAGTGCCCAGGCCAAGAGATCAATCCCCAGGATGGGCACACACACACACACAAATGTCTGATGCTAGATACCATTGGCTCACACCTATAATCCTAGCTTCTTAGGAGGCCAAGATCTAAGGCTAAAAGTCTTTGCAGAAAAATTTCACAAGACCTTTTCTCAACCCATAGCTAGGCCTACTAGCACATTCCTGGTATCCAAGTTTCACAATCGGCTGAGATTAGGAGGTTTGAGACTTCATCTCAATGGAAGAAGTTGGGTGTGAGCACATCTGTCATCCTAGTTACAGTAAAATGCCTAAAATACGTGAATTGCAGTCCAGGTAGGAAGCAAAGATTCTGTCTCAAAATTACCAGCGTAAGCCAGGCTCTGGTGGCTCACAACTGCAATCCTTGCTCCTTAAAAGGATGAGATCTGAGAACCACAGTTCAAAGACAGCTCAGGCAGAAAAGTACCTGAGACTCTTATATCCATAGAACCAGCAAAATACTGAACTGGAGGCATGACTCAAGTGGTAGAGCATTATAAGCAAGAAAGCCAAGTGAGAATTCAAAGGCCCTGAGTTCAATCCCAAGCTTGAGAATAAAGAATATAAATATATTACCGGTACAAATAAGGGCTGGAGGTGTGGCTCAGCAGTTGAGTGCCAGCCCAGCATGGGCAAGACCATGCGTGCTACCAAAAAATAGGAAGTCTGAAATAAGAATGTAACTACGTAAACATTAGGAATGATGTTGTTTACTTTAGAGTAATTTCTATCCTTAAATAGCTCCTAGCCTTAAATAGAAAACAAATCTACAACTCAAAAATCATGTATTGAAAGAAATTAAAACATCTGAACATATGTACAACATGACATATGACCTTAGGAAGAAATATAAGTCCACATTCAATAAATCCTTTGGGGAATCTCCTGAATGCCAGGGCACTTGCAGACAGGTATGGAGACACTCACTCAGTGTACCAGCTTCAGGGCAGCAGAGCGGGGCATGTCAGGGACCCCAATGAACAAGGTGTGCACAGCGATTAGCACTCACTACCATTCTCACAGGTACACACTCCAACCAGAGGAAGAGGAGGTTAACAACAAAATACTCAGTCAGATGATAAGAAGTGCTATGAAGACATAGACAGAAGTGATCATTTGGATATGGAAGAAAGTCCTCTCTAAGACAAAGAAGTGGAAATATGTGAAGGAGAGGACGGAATGAGCTATCTGCACACCTGGACAGTGAGCATTATCACAAGGGAACTGTGCGTGGTTCTTGGTAGGAACATGCTCATACGTGGGTGAGTAGACTCAGCCGTTAGATCATTTGCATATAAAAGA